TTCTAGATCGTGTAGGCATGTTTCATTGTTTTTTGTTCATTTTGTCTCTTGCCTCCTCTGACTGTGTATTTTGAAATGGGTTGTCTTCAAGCTCACTAATTCTTTCTTGGGCTTGCTCAATTCTGCTATTTAAAAACTCTGATGCATTCTTCAGGTTGTCAGTTGCATTTTTCAACTCCAGAGTTTCTTGATTTTTTAAATTATTTCAGTCCTTTGTTAAATGCCTCTGATAGAATTCTAAATTCCTTCTCTGTGTTTTCTTGAATTTTTTGAGTTTTCTCAAGACAACTATTTTGAATTCTCTGTCAGAAAGGTCACTCTATCTGTTTCCCCAGGATTTGTTTCTGGTGGCTTGTTTAGTTCGTTTGGTGAGTTCATGTTTTCCTGGATGATATTGATGCTTGTGGATGTTTGTCTGTGTCTGGGCATTTAAGCATTGGGTGTTTATTGTATTCTTTACAGTCTGGACTTCTTTGTATTCATTATTTGGAAAGCTTTTCAGGTATTTGAAAGGATTTGGATGTTGCTAAAGATGTATCTGCTTTAGGAAGTACCACAAGCCCAGTAACACTGTGGTTCTTGGCAGACTCTTACTACCTTAATGGTCTTGGATAAGAGCTAGAAGAATTCCCTTAATTACCAGACAGAGACTCTTGTTCTTTCCCCTTACTTTTTCCCAAACAGAGTGTCTCTGTTTGGAGCCACCTGGAACTGGGGATGTGGTGAGAGAAGCACCCCTGTGGACCCCACCCCTGGGACTGCACTGGGTCAGACCTAAACCCAGCACAGCACTGAGTCTTGTCCAAGACCTGCTGTAACCACTCTGGCTACCACTTAAGTTTGTTCAAGGCCATGGGTTTCCATAATCAGCAGGTAGCAAAGCCAGCCAGACTTGTGTCTTTCCCTTTAGGGTGGCAAAATCCCCCAGGCCCTGAACAGGTCCAAAGGTGCCATCTGGAAGTCAAAACCTTAGAATTCTACCTGGTGTTCTCTTGTGCTGTGGCTGAGCAGGCACTCAACCTATGAGAAACAGTCCTTCTCCACAAGCAGAGGAGCCTTACTCTGTGCCACTATCAAAGACCCTTGGGGAGTATTGCCAGGCTACCACCAATATTCACTTATGGCCCATGGCCTCTAAGTCAGCTTGTGGTGAATATGCCTACCCTGGCAGTAAAAATATCAAATATTTGCTTTAGTTGCAGATGTAGCCTTTTATGACTTTATATGCAGAAGCGTAAAAGAAAGGAAATAAGTCAGTAAAGACAAGGAGACAATACAGAAATTAAGAGAGAAAAAAACAGCAGATGGCTAATAATATGAGAAATATGAGAAACAGCAACTTGGACAGCAAATAGAAAGTGTCTAGTAGTGGAAAACAGAACTGGTAACAGGCAAACAATCAACCATACACCCACGTAAAATTAGGTATCGGCTCCATAAACCTCAAGGTATTATACAGCAGCCATATAGCTAAACAAGGATAATGCTAATGCTAGACCATATGACAGAAACAACTGAAGTCATTCCGCTCATTGTTTTATACTGTTTGTGTCTCCTCATAGAGCATGCATTAGCGTTAGTATGGTAAGGACTGGCATTTGCTATATAAACATCTTTTTTTTTTTTTTTTTTTTGAGACAGAG